CACCGGGCTACTTCTTGCCATCCTCATGGCAATTCGTGTTCTGGTTCAGTTATAAAAGCTCGAGCTGGTGCAGCCAGACCACCGTGCAGGGCAGCACCGCGGGCGCAGACGGAGCAGCCCCAGCGCTGCCACACCGGGCTCCTGGGTTTGTTAATCAGCGCTGAGGAAGGTCCCTGTTTATCGGAGGGACATATTAAAATTTATGGCTTACAAAGAGTTTTCCTTCATCACATTAATCCCTTCCCTTCCTGCTTTTGCTAACAGGGGTATTAGAAAGCTACATTCTATATAAAATTTTTATTGGCTTCAATTCATTCTGAAAATATCTTGTGTGGCAAATGGATGCAATTTAAAGCCCTGTTAAACACCATCTGCGAGTCGCACTGAGCCAGCCGGCTCGGGGCCTCCGTTTCCAGCCAGGGTGGGTTGTTACGCTGAAGCCCCCCCACCTCCCCGAGCCCTCGTCTAGTCAGGGAAATAAGATGCTTCTGGACTGCAGCTATGAAGGGAAACTGGGAAAAGGAAAAGCCCCGGCAAACAGCACTGATGGGGGCTGCCCTCACTGAACCGAGCAGTTAACAAGCCACGTGTCTCCTGGGCCGGGCTGGCAGCAGGGGTAAGCAGCCATCCCCTATCCGGGGGACGCATCCAAGGTCCCTGCAGCTGCACAGGATCATGCAGGATCGTGCCCTCGGCAGCTACGCCAGCAAGGACCAACACTCGCTGCCTTCCAGCATCTGCTTGGTGGCCCCACGAAAAGGGACCTGGTGAGATCTCTTCCAGCGCCAACATCACGTCAAGGCAAAACCAGCCCCAGTCACCCCGCTGAGCACTTTCTTGGGCAATCTCGGCCAAAGAGCAGAGACTCTGTCCCTGGCCCCTACACCAGCGAGGAGCCAGGGACTGGCTGCCCTCACTGAGAAGAATGAGGACAGACCCCTCCAGGACAAGCCGGCCAGCAGCACCAACCTTGTTAAGATCAAATAGGAAAATGCAATTAAAAGCAAGTCCTGGGAAGTACCTGCTCTCAGACCCAGAGTGGGAGAGCCAGAGGAAGAGACGCTGCTCCACAAAACCAAGAGCACCCAGGGCAGGAGGAGCGAGCAGCAGCGTCCCCATGACGCAGCTCAAAGAGCTGCACGTCTGCAGGTGGGCGTGCAGGAGGTGACGCGCTCTGCCAACACTTACGCTCTGCCAGCGTCTCCACTTCAATACTGGGGCTGTAGTTTCCGTAATCGGCCGAGGAAGATGTCCGGATTTGGAAAATATAGAGGGTGCCAGGCTTCAGGTTATTGACCGTCACGGCCGTTGATGTGGTTTTCACAGTCGAGTAACTTTGATCTCTCTGATCCTGTGAAATAATGAGACAGTGGAGATCTGGCTGGACTGGCAGCTGCGCCACGGAGCAGGCATGGCACAGCTGGATCTGCGCCTGCCTCCGGGTCCCGTCAGGATGGTCTATCTGAACACAAAACCTTCAACAGAAAGAATACATTTACGAGATGTCTCATTAATAGAAATTACATGGAAAGGTCACATGAAACGGCAGACGGAGCCAGATGACACGCTGCGGAGACAGGCGGAGGACGGGGTGGTGGGCAGCAGCTGTGCCACCCCACACAGCTCCTTTCCTGCCGCCTGCCCCACTGGCACCATCCCACCCCTTCCCGCTCGGCTTCGGCTGCTCGAGCCCGGGGAGTAAATACACGAGTATCAGCACACACCGAGTAACCAGAGCTGGCGGGTGTGTGTGCCAACACTCCTGGTCCCTGGGATTTTGCTCACTCGCCCATCGACCTACAGAGCCCTCTGCTTCAGCTACGGGAGAGCGCGATGGGCAGCCCCCGTCCCGCGGCTGCTGCCGGCGGTGTGACGGCGGGGTGGGCTCTGCCCAGCAGGGTGGGCTCTGCCCGGCCGGTGCCACTGGATGACCCGCGCTGCTCTCATGTGCCAGAGCAGCACATCCCCGTGCTCTGCCTCTGCAGTCTGCAGAGCAAACCCAGCCCACCCTCCTGCCCGCTCCTGCAAAACTTCTCGTGCTTCTGCACAGCCGCCAGACATCATTTTCTCAGTCGTGTCGGGTCCTTCCAAACACGCTTCCAGAGATGAGGCTGGTGCTGCCACGGTCCCGGACTGGGGTTATCTGAGGCCACCAGGAGTGGGGCCAGGTCATGTTCCCGTGGCCTCAGCATTGGCCTCTCCTGGATCCCATGTGCCCATGCTGCACCCTCATCACGCCGGGTCCAGCCCTGCGGAGCACCCCAGCCCCACGATCCCGCACAGCCGCAGGCAGCAGCCATCCATCGTGCCGCTCCAGGGCCAGGACGTCGCTGCGAAACGTATTTTCCATTTGATACACTTTTCCCCTTGAATCTCCATTGTTAGTCTGGCTTTAAAAGCAAAGATTAGGAACTAAGTTGATTTTCATGACAGCATCAAGAGCCTAATTTCAGTGAATAATTGCTAAACTACAGTTTGAATTCCCTGCCCAAGCAGGACATTTCCTCATTTCACATACCCTGAGGATCTAGCTGCTGCAGCCCATTTGCACTGGAATTACCATCTCGGGCTTCAGCATTTGCCCTCACCCACAGATTCCTCCTTTCAAATCTATCAGATGCTGAAAATCACATTAATATGAATCAGCTTCAAGGTAGCTTGTTTCTAAATACAGAATGCCATCGTGTCACCTGCACACTTTGCTTGACATGTAATCAGTTTCGTAACGAGCCTGAGCACATGCAGATAAGGTAATTTGCGGAACTGTGTCATAAACTGCATTTATTTTGATCTAGAGCATTGTCCCTGCTCTCTGCCCACCGATACTTCTTCTAAAATTCTCAACCAACCACATCTGTCAAAAAACAGCTACTTTTCAAATTAAGAGACTGTCAGAAAAACGTTTGCTTGTGTCCCCTCCTGCGTGGAAGATCACTCACAGCCCAGAGTCAGGGCTTTGGTGGCACTCGGTCCTAAACCAGTGAAGACCACATGGTCCAACACTTTCCCAGAGAGCAGGCTATGAATACAGGTGTCACCTCAAAGAGTTACAAACCCAGCGTGGTTTAGCAGTCCCTGCCTAGCAGGCTAATGGCAAGCACCCAAACCTCAGATTTCTAATGTCCCTGAAAAAAGCCATCCAATGCATAAAAAAACCCAAAAAGAATGAATGAAAATTATTAGCTTTACTCTTTCTCCCAGGGAGATGTCAGCATCAGAACTGGATGAAGTCTTGCTGCACAGATGGGAGAAAACAACACTAATTAACATGCACTCTACAAATAATCCAAACTTCCTCCAACTTGCACAAGCAGATTGCGTAACGCTGTTGGAGAGAAAAAGTCCTTATCGGCCCCCGTCGAAGCACATCTCTACTTCCAGGTGCCCGTAAAATCTCCCCAACAGCACCATCACGGACACGCACTCCCTCCCTTTCCCACCACTCAACCTTCACGCGGCGGGTGGCTGCTTATGACCGGGAGCGGTGGCACACACGGCACCCCTGGCACCGCGCTCCTGAGGGGCAGATGGGGCGGGCGAGGGAAGGACGCAGGAGCTGGCCGGGGCACGACCGAGAGCCGGAGCCAGACCCAGAGCCAGAGCCTACCTTCTCGTAGTACTTGACCTCGTACTCGGTGCCGTTGGCAGGCGGGAAGCCCGGCTCGTGCCACGACAAGGAGACGCTCTT